TTAGTTTGTTGTTTTCTTTCTATATTTAAGTATATAATTTTTCTAGGATTTTTTGAAGTAAGGTTAGAGTCTTTTTACTTTGTTCTATCAATTATTATTTTTCAGTAATTTATAACTATTGATCTTATCCCAATAACTTTATTTACTTATATTTTATGTTTGGCTTAGAAACCCATATCTTCTAGGAACTAGTAATGGCTTCAGGTATTAGTTGTTGTTGTATATGTAAGATTGTTTTAGAACTCTTATTATCTATTGTTGAGGAATAATTTTTAAAAGAAGATAGAATGATTTTCATACAGACATAAAATAAACATGTGTCAAAAATGTTTAACTCATTAATGAGGGACCAGTAAAATGTTATGATTGGTTTGAAGAATTCAAAGGGCAGAGATTTATAAAGGGAATAAGAAATTCTGAAATGAAGGGGCACCTCAGTGGCTCAGTTGGTTAAGCATCCAACTCTTGATTTCAGCTCAGATCACGATCTCAGAGTCATGAGATCAAGCCCTGCCTTGAACTCCAAGCTTGGTGTGACAAGGAGTGACAAGCTGAGACTTAAGACTCTTCTCTCCCTCTCCCTCTGCTCCTCCCCGTGTGTGTGTATGTGTGTGTGCATGCGCACACTCTCTTTCTCCCTCTCTAAAAAAAAAAAAAAGAAGAAGAAATTCTGAAATGAATTTACACATGTGCAAAACTAGTCTGTCAAAATCAATGCAAAAATCAGTTGCATTCTATGGAACCCTACTCTGCATTTATACAGACATAATTTTTTTGCATTATAATGAAATTTCTACAACTTACAGAGTTGTAATATCAGTTAAAGATGAGAAAACCTACATAAGTGAGTAGTCACAGTAGCCATTATTTGATTTTTTCCTATTTCAAATTCTCTCACAATTTTTTCTGACAGTCTCCTTTCCTCTTTTTATCATAATAAATTCAAAGAATTATCATTGTTATAAAATAAGACTAGTCCCATTAGATTTGCCTGATCGTTTACATAGATGCAGTAAAAGTGCTATTTTACCATATGGGACACCTTAAGTTTCTTTTGTAAACTCTAAAACTATACAATTTTGAACAAATACTAAATTAAATTATGTCTGAAAGTTTTTATATGGAATCTCAAATTGGATTTTTAAAATCCTCTATTATCTGGTGACCTGAGGCTAGGAAACCAAGCTCAAGAAATGTTCTTCACAATATTTAACCTGAAATATTTATAAATATGGGTAAATTCCTCTTTCTCAAGGTCCCCCAAATATACTAAGATTACATATATTTAATGTATAATATTCTTAGACTTTCTAAGCCAAGAAATAGGTCAGGGCTTTGTAGGCATTGCTTCCATAAGTAAAGTCAAACTTAGTTCATTAAGAGTGGCTTCTGATTTAAATGAGTACTGTTCTCAAATATGACATTCCAGGTAGGGCCTTGGCTTTTCAATGTGTACAATTACACCCTGATTTAAAAAAATTAACAGCTCCTTTTTGAACCAATGCAAATAACTAAATGGCCATGGAAAATTAAGTGTGAAGTACGTGTAAAGTTTCATTTAATTTTTCTACACTTGGAGTCCAATTAGTGGAAGGTAAAAATTAGAAATTAAAACTATTAGAGGATATTTGGAAATTTGATTAAGCTAGGATCAGGATACTAGAGAAATAATACTTAGTCATATATTTAATTAAATAAGCATTTAAAATAATAATACATTTTAGGGGTGCCTGGGTGGCTCAGTGGGTTAAGCCACTGCCTTCAGCTCAGGTCATGATCTCAGGGTCCTGGGATCGAGTCCCGCATTGGGCTCTCTGCTCAGCAGGGAGACTGCTTCCCTCTCTCTCTCTCTGCCTGCCTCTCTGTCTACTTGTGATCTCTCTCTGTCAAATAAATTAGTAAAATCTTAAAATAAAATAAAATAAAATAATAATACATTTTAAATAAGTATAGACATTAATATGATTATAAAGGAACTTATCTTTATATAAGTGAGGAATCTGTTCTTTTCTTTCTTCTCTTTCTTTTTCTTAATCAGGAATGTAATAAATTCAACATAAAGCATAGAAAAAATTTCCTATAAGACATACATCATTTGCTAACTAGACACATGACACAGAAGGTCAAAAAAATATTTTATATATAGGCCAAGGAATGAGCCAGTAAGTAAAAAAAACAAGCCCTTCAAGATAAGGCAAACATTAGGAAAATTTTATTATATCTCATCACTTCATTTCAAACTCAAGTGCTATAAACCAAGTCAAGTAAAATTCACTTCCAAATTTGCCCTTTATTTTGCTTTTTCTGTCACAACAAATCTCAGGGTACCAAGGAGTTCAAAATAATGTTTATATTAATTTTAAGATGTTATTTCTGTTAACATTTTAATTCATGTTCATCATTGTTCTAGTCAAACGAATCAGTAAGTATTTAAAAATTTCTCAGTTTCAACTTCTAATATGGTAAATATTGATGGTTATAACCCACATAAAAGTTTTTTGTAGTCCTCAGTAAGTCTCAAGATTGTACAGAGTTATGAAAAGGAACAAAAAGGATAAAAAGGCCTGAAAAACACTACTGTATATATTTACACAATGTATATTCATATGTAAAACCAGTACTATAAAGCTTATATTATAAAACAAAACTATTTTCTCTTTGGAACACAAAAGCACATAGACAGTGGTTTTAGTCTGTCCTTATTACTTTGTGTAATTTGATCAGTGTATTTGAATAAATTTAAGAAAAGCAAACCCAAGTAGAATAAAATGTATGCTTGTATTATACCTAACACTGATAAGTCACACTATAAGCCATTTTTATTAAGCCAAATGATTATACTAGTCTGACTTACCAAAATTTACCTTAATTACATGAACTTTAATGTTCAAAACATTTCTGAGTTTCAAAATAATAACATTTTTAAAAAGGTTTATGTATGTATTTCAGGGAGAGAGAGCATGCACGGGTGGGGAGGGGTAGAGGGAAAGGCAGTGAGAATCTCAAGCAGGCTCCACACTGAGCTCAGAGCCCAACACAAGGCTCAATCTCATGACGCTGAGATCATGACCTGAGCCAAAACCAAGAGTCAGACACCCAACCTATTATGCCACCCAGGTACCCCTATAAGAGTAACTTTTTAAGTATACACATATCAAACATTCAAAATTTTGATTTCCTTATTTTCCTGGAATTTTAAACATTAGCCACAGGCCAAAAGTAAACACAAAAAAATTATCAGACTATATATCAAAAAGTTGTTTCCTTTCCTGATAAGCACAAGATTCTCAATCTGAGCTCAAATAGACAAGCAGACAAACAAAGAAAATAAAATACTAACAAATCATATTCTCTGTTGTCTTCTCTCCAAGAAAGAATAAATCTCTATAATCTATTACTCCATTTACAAAGATCACAAAATTTTGACCACAAAACCAAATTGCTGTTACCAATGGGGAATAATTTGTTGATTTTAAAAGTCCCAAAAACAAAAACAAATCACAAAAGTAGTAAAATGGAAAATATGCAAAGAAACAGAGGATAGGCAAAGTGAAAGTTCTGTGACAAGAGGGAATTTACCTCTTGGAACCAAGAAATGCCCCGGATTATGTCCTATATGAGGTATAATACTCCTCTAACAACACAGGTTCCTCAGACATCAGCTGACTCAATCGGGCATTGTAATTTACTACAAGATAATTGTTCACAAGGTAATTGTATACAAGATAATTTTTTATAGAAGGATATAATTATGACTCTCCTACAGATATGACATGAATGTACCAACTATTTTATTTAATTTACTAATTATAGAAGGAGCAATTCAGAGGAGAATTCTAGGAGCAAAACATATATAGGGAATAAGAAAAATTGAAATTAATTTATAAATAGAACTCAATGCAGTGTAATAATTAATTGAATTCTATTATGTACAATTAATTTGCATCTTTTTGACAAGAATATTTTGCATTATTATCAAGTTTTCCACAACTTAAAGAGTTGTAAAATAGCACAAAAACCATGAAAGGCAGAAAAAAGTTGGGTGGGTGAGTCACTCAGGATACCCACTCTTTTTGTTTACCCATTTCAGTCTTTACAGTTTTGTTAACTCTACTTAAAAGATAAACTAAAACATTTTTTCTTGCTAACAAGAAATTACTATCATGGGGACAAAGCAGGATGAAAGCTTTCCTTTAGTCCTACATCTAAATGCCTTATCATCTCTTTCTACAAGAAGAGAAAGCAAGTAACTTCATTCTTCTGTGCATTGAATAAAATTTCCAATTGTAGATATTACAAACTCTTTTAGAGTCTCTCTTTTCTCTCTTATCAATACCACATTAGTGAATACTCCTTCCCACAGGAGTTCCCCCAGGAGCCTAGATGTATTATAGATTATCTTGAATAAAGATATAAAGAGCAAATCTTTTTTCACAGATTATAATTCAAAGGGAGGGAAAAAAAGTTCAAATAGTTTTTAAACAGATAAGAAGGTTTTAATTAAACCCACCATGGACAGGCACTTCCTCTAGTGTTCATCAATTCTAAAATCAAGGTCATTTTTACTGGACAAACTTGAAGTTATGATATGATTTTTTTAGATTTATTAACCTGTGATCACATGTGTCTATAAGTCCTTCCTTGGAAATTCTTCAGAGTTAGTGACTCGTGGGGTTTAGCAGGGTCCAGACAAGTATGAGCTTCTGACAGTTTTGACCGTAGGTATTTTCAGTAATGTCACAACCCAGAGCCTCAAAGCTTCTGATTGGAATTATCACCACTCCTAAGAAAAAGAACCTGAAGGGAAACATAAAAATGTCTCTTTTTAAAACATTTTTATTTATTTTTTTTAATTTCTTTTCAGTTGAAACATGAAAATGTCTTGATGGCCATTGCATTTTTTTTTCTGTTGCTATAATATTGAAACAAGAAAATTTGTTTAATGCCAATTATTTGCATGAGGGACTGGACTGATTAACAATATAATTTATGTATTTTAGTCTTCCCCAGGTGACAACTCTACTAGAACCCCTATCCAGACAGAACTCTACATTCAAGTTGTCCTTTTTGACCACATTTCGAGAAGAAAGACTTAACTACCAACACGTTACATGGTCCCCTAATGGCATGCTAAATTTGAATGAATTCTGTAACCAGAAACAACTTAGAAAATAAATGAGTCCTATAGCTGGGAGGCAAGCTGGAATAATAAAAGTTGATAAAGAAATTAGAAAGAAAACCATAATTGTGACTGTCTTTGTGTGGTACAGATCTTAATCTGACTTGAGGTTTTTCTAAATTTTTCCCTCTAAATCCTGAAGCTGATTGCAATAGTTCATGGGAGAGAATCTTCTTGCTACTTACTTTGTAGCTCAGATTTTCCAAAACAAAAATACTCCAGGTCCTACTATTGCCAAATATAGAGGTCTGGAATCTATACCATGTGGCAGTTCTATCTACTAAATTTGTTGAATATTGATAAGAAGTCTGAAATTGAAGAACAAGAGTAAGAAGATATAAATACAAGGTTTTCAATAGCTCTGTATGAGGAAATAAAATCTCAAATGTCCCATGAGATGATGTATAAAATGAAGTGTTTGATATACTTGTGTGCCTGGACAATATGAACCCCATGACCATGCAGCTGAGAAAAGGAAATATAAGTGAAACCAAAAGATTTTAGGGAAGTGAGGACTTCATTAGGGAAGAACATGTTTTCCTCACCTGACACTGCAGGTGGCTTTTGTGCCACTTGTGATTTAAAAATTAATATTTAAGTCTTCCTCTTCTTCCCATTCTCTTCTCTTTCTAAGCAATCCAGTACTATGGCCATTAGTTGGGGCCAACCAAGACAGAAATCTGGTCAATGTGTGGGAATGGGAAAGCCCAGAGTAGGGCATCAGAGCTCCAATGAGATGAGAAGAGTGTATTCACAGGGGGGTGATGGCCTGCATAATATTGGAGATTTCATGCAAGAGGAGAGTGGTATTAAATTAAAATTGGGTGTATGGGTGTGATCTCATCATTTTCAATATACACAACAAATACAGAACATATGTTAATGTTTTATGATGCATCTGCCATTTCTCTGTTCAATAAGAGGGCCTCAAAACAGCAACACCCAATATCAATGAGCACACATAGCACCCAGATCTTGGTTTCTCACCACCATTTTCTACCAAAAAGAAGCAGTCATCCTTGCGTAAATGACTGATTCCAGGGCTGAGGCAGGGAAAATACGTGAATCTAGAACTTCTTTTTGTGCCAGAAAGCAAAGAAATTCTTGAAAAATGAAGGGATTTTTCAAAAGGAAACCACATCCACATTGAAAAAGTTCCTACTGGCCAAACCTGGGACAGTTTGGGCATCAAAATAAATAATGAAAACAACAGGCAGAAAGTATAAAACCATGAACCCATACTCATCTACATAAAGGAATAAATGAAATGTTTGATGAGGAATGGGATATTTACATAATATCTCCCACAAAATGTGGGTTAGTTACAGAGGGAATAATGGGAAAAACTGGAAGACACCACTTTCAACAAGCGATGGAAGGGAATATGTTTAGTAATGAAGGAAACTGAATTTGTCCCCCAAATAATGTGCAAGAGAATAACTTACCATCACTTTTGTAATAATCCTGCTAAAGTTGCGTAACCTGAATATGATCAAGAGGAAACTTAGAAAAAAAAAAATCCATAGACATTATGCAAAATAACTGGCCTGAGATCTTCAAGGTGTCAAGATCTTGAAAATAGAAGCTTGAAAAGTGGTCTCAGACTGAAGGAGACTTAGAGAGACACAATAATCAAATGCAACACATTATTCTGCATTGTATCTTTAGCCTATAAAAGGATTCTGGGGACATCTGGTGAAAATTGAAGGGTTTCTGAAGATTAGATGGTGGTAATGTAAAAATGTTTGTCCTGATTTTGATGATTATGTTGTGGTTATATTAGAAAATGTCCTTGATTGTAGGAAATTACACTAAAGTGTTTGGGAGTCAAGGGGCATCATGTCAGCAAACTGTAAATATTTGGGGGGGTGTCTTTGTGTTGTCCTTGCAATTTTTTTGTAATTCTGAGATTGTTTTGATCTTAAAAAATATTTGATTTATTACATTTGTAAATTCAAAACTCTATTTACTTATATTCTAAGTATTTTAATTTTTACTATCATTTTTCTGAGTTCTTTTATAGTTTAACTAAATTTTTTTAAACATTTTAGATTTTGTGATTTTCATTACATTCAATTTTCTAATTACTTCAAAATTTTAACTAGGAAATGAGCCTTTGTATACATTTAAATAACTCTTATAAATTTAAGAATTTAAATGTATAAATACAAAGACTCATATTCTCTTAAAAGTTTCAGTATGTTTCTACAAAAGTTGGGTATTCATCCTTTCTGATGGAGGCATAATACTCCATAGTGTATATGGACCACATCTTCCTTATCCATTCGTCTGTTGAAGGGCATCTTGGTTCTTTCCACAGTTTGGCAACCATGGCCATTGCTGCTATAAACATTGGGGTACAGATGGCCCTTCTTTTCACTCCATCTGTATCTTTGGGGTAAATACCCAGTAGTGCAATTGCAGGGTCATAGGGAAGTTCTATTTTTAATTTCTTGAGGAATCTCCACACTGTTCTCCAAAGAGGCTGCACCAACTTGCATTCCCACCAACAGTGTAAGAGGGTTCCCCTTTCTCCACATCCCCTCCAACACATGTTGTTTCCTATCTTGCTAATTTTGGCCATTCTAACTGGTGGAAGGTGGTATCTCAATGTGGTTTTAATTTGAATCTCCCTGATGGCTAGTGATGATGAACATTTTTTCATGTGTCTGATAGCCATTTGTATGTCTTCATTGGACAAGTCTGAAAAACAATCTGAAGGGTTTGAAGAAGTGGGGGGGGGTGGGAGGTTGGGGGAACCAGGTGGTGGGTATTAGAGAGGGCACGGATTGCATGGAGCACTGGGTGTGGTACAAAAACAATGAATACTGTTATGCTGAAAATAAATTAAAAAAAAGATTTAAAAAAAAGAAGCTTATTTTGCTAAAGTACATACAAAAGTATGACAAACTGTGGAAAGAACCAAGATGCCCTTCAACGGACGAATGGATAAGGAAGATGTGGTCCATATACACTATGGAGTATTATGCCTCCATCAGAAAGGATGAATACCCAACTTTTGTAGCAACATGGACGGGACTGGAAGAGATTATGCTGAGTGAAATAAGTCAAGCAGAGAGAATCATTATCATATGGTTTCACTGATTTGTGGAGCATAACAAATAGCATGGAGGACAAGGGGAGATGGAGAGGAGAAGGGAGCTGAGGGAAATTGGAAGGGGAGGTGAACCATGAGAGACTATGGACTCTGAAAAACAATCTGAGGGTTTTGAAGGGAAGAGGGGTGGGAGGTTGGAAGAACCAGGTGGTGGGTATTGGAGAGGGCACGGATTGCATGGAGCACTGGGTGTGGTGCAAAAACAATGAATATTGTTATGCTGAAAATAAATTTAAAAAATTTTAAAAATACTTAAAAAAAAGTTTCAGTATGGCTTATAAACTTATAAAATTTTAGTTGACACTCATGTCTGAACTAATCAAATATCACATTTTAAATTGGAAGATATGTGGTAGTTTTCATAAATGTTTTAACTATTTAAAAAATTTTTTTTAAAGATTTTATTTATTTATTTGACAGAGAGATGTCACAAGTAGGCAGAGAGGCAGGCAGTTGGGGGGAGCACGTTCCATGCTGAGCAGAGAGCCCGATGAGGGGCTCGATCCCAGGACCCTGAGACCATGACTTGAGCCTAAGGCAGAGGCTCAACCCACTGAGCCACCCAGGTGCCCCACTATTTTAAATATTTTTAAATGTAGGTATTTAAAATACTTAATATAGTTACAGATTATTCCCATATTTAATCCCAAGGTTTAAGACACTAATCATTAGCTTCTGGACTGAATTTATGGATAGTGAATACTGAATGGAGGTTTGAGTTGGGTTATGGGAGATAGTCATTTGCTAGGGCCTCCGTAACAAAATACCACAGACAGGGTGGCTGAAAAAACAGAAATTTATTTTCTGAAAGTTCTGGAGACTGGAACCAAGATCAAGGTGTCAGCAAATCTGATTTTTTTCCTGAGAGTCCTCTCCTTACTTGCAGATGGCATCCTTCTTGCTATTTCTTCACGTGATCTTTCCTCTGAGCAGGTGTCTCTCCATGTATCAAAATTTCTTCTTATGAGAACACCAGATTGCATTAGAGTCCACCCGTGACCTCATTTTAACCTAAGTCTTTAAAAGGGCCTGTCTCAAAGTACAGTCACATTCTGAGGGCCTGGGGGATAGGACCTCGACCATGAATTTTGGAGGGATACATAATTTAGCCTATACATGGGATATGGACTGCAAATATCCGGGATATTTTGTCGTGATTAGACCCGTTCTGCCAATGCTAAGCCAGGTCTAGACCTCCAAGGATTCCAGTTTTATGCCGTTCAAATGTGGGCTGCCTTGCTGTCTGAGAGCTGTGGAGTCTCGTATCATACTAATTCTGTCGTCTGATTGGGGTTTGCAAGACCCACCCAGGTCGGTTGATGTTCAGTGAATCTATGTAGGGTTTTATTCTACTGTGAATTGTTTCTATATTCTTTCTACCGGCAGAGCCATGGCACTTATAAATATTTAAATGGTTTCTGATTATATTGAGTGTATTTCTCCTATCGTGCCTTGTTCTGTGGTCACAGGTCTAAGGTCAAACGAATGCAGCTATTGTAGATTCGAAGTTCCTTTCGTGGAAGCTTATTGAGGTGACTTTCTCCCAGTAAAGAAGAGAGTAATTCGAGAAGTGTTATGCCTGAGTACAGGGTACCCTAAGAAAGTAATTTTAACTTGACACTAATGGTGGAATGCAGGACCAAAGGGAAGGAGTATATGAAATGCATGTGAGAATCAGCAGAAGAACAGTGGGCCAGCAACACGGGACCCAAGAATGGAAGAATGAAGAGCCGACTGAAAGGAAATGAAACAAGAAACTGAGCAATGCAATAAAGAGGAAAGAGCATTAAGAACCAGACTATTTGGCAAACCGAAGTTGGTAACTGGCCAAATCATTTTATCTCTCCAGACTTTGGCTCTTGAAGGTCTCCTCAAAATCCAAAACATCTCTGATTTCCCTTGCTGTTTTTCTAATCTATTTATAGACTCC